AGCCGTTCGATGAAGCTGGAAAATATGCAACCACGGGTTGGGACAAACTGTTGGCGATAGTCGGCGTGCAACCGAGGGTGGCTCAGGCCTGCCTCAAGTGGTTCAACTCGGAACATGGGTACACAGACTCAGAGCGTGGAATACTCCATAGTGTTTTTAAAGGGGTGACAGAGAAAATATGTGAAGAATATTTTGTCAGTCTGAGTGACACCAGGTGTTGTCCCAAGCGTGTGGTGTAGAATGGTGCACCAATATTCCCCATGTCGCGTAGTGCTGATGGACACTGGAATGATGTCATCTCAGTGTATGTTGTGTGGAAGAATGTGAATTTTTTGTTGTAGAAGATGACTGCTACTTTTATCCAATTACATACTTCGTTGATACAGCATCCACCAGGGAATCTCAAAGAGTGTATCGATTGGGTGTTGAGATTCTGTGAGAAGGATGAGGATGGAAGTGGTAAGACCGGTAAGTTTCATACCTGGAATCTGTTTCATGGTGTTTACAGAAGGTGTGAAAAGCTTGGCTTCGGAATTGGTAACGTTATTTGAGGCTGCGCAGAAAGTGAATCCAACAGATGCTGTCCTTGCTGCCGCATGTAAGGAATTGGAAAAGGATAAGCAATACGCCACAAAAGGTACCACATACGGCTCAATAAGCCCGCTTAGCACCAGTTTGGCAAAATTCATTGGATACACTTATGCAGTCACTAGCGGCTCTACTAGAAGTGGGTCGTGGAAATTAGATCCCAGTAGCTCTAATGGAATTGGTAGTTCCAGCTACGCCAATAGCAAAGATCAATACAAATCCGCTTATTTTGAAAGAGCCACTTGGGAAGAAGCAAAGACAACTGACAAAGATGGTACACTTTGTGCCCGCATTTTTCTAGGCTGTCTTCCTGTGCTCTTCAGCGGCTTGAGTTATTTGTATTGGCAATGTGGCATACAGTCGTCAAGGTGGGACCAGGGTGGTAGTGTTGCTATCGATAATACGAATAATGCTCTTGGCATATTTTTTCAATGTTGTGGTTATGAAACTAATAGGTTGAATAGCCTTATGTATGCCTCAGGTGAACAGGACAAAAGCATTAAAAAATTACTTGACGGCACATCTGGAAACGGTTTCCAAGAATTCAAGGCCAGTGGTGTAAACGTGGAAGATGAATACTCGAAATACATCAAACAAGTACTAAACAAAACTGATGCCACGAAACACCCCCTCTCCAGTCTCTACATATGCTCAACATACTATTTCCAACATCAACAAACCAAACAGGAAAACTGCACCCGTACACCCTCCACAATTCGTGAAATGCTATATTGGTTAATGGCCCTTCCCTATAGTAGTGTGTTTCAACAATTGAGTAACAACTCTAGTGATATACCCAAATTACTCGGTAAAGAAAAGACACCTAGTATTACCTTCATCAATGGCTCAAACAGCACAATCACCTTCAAACTATCCACCATCCCCTCCTACCTCCTCCCACCCTGTTTCTACGCCGGTTTCACCTTAATGACTATACAAGGTACCCTCAATGGCCTCAAAACAGATACTGAAAAACCACAATTGAACCTTCACAGCATCTATTCCAATTCCCACTTCAAATTCAATTACCCAGACAACCCATCCGATTGGTTCAATGAACTGTGGAATGTAGTGTATCAGTTGATGACACAATTGTTGTTTCTGAGTGATACTTGTGGCTGGTGTATAGGAAGAGGTTGTGGTTGGTTGTGGTGTCAATATGCTAGTGGTATAAAATATGACAACGTTCACTCTTGGATTTGCACTGCTGATTCCTGTAATGGCGATCATAATGATGGTAACTGCTCACAAACTGATGCCGCTGCCCACACCACAGCTTGCGGCCAAAATGGCACTTCCTCCCCCCTACAAGCTTGTCTATATGATAAATTAGATGGATTCGGTAATCCTAAGATGGGTTTCAATGGTTACATGTCCAAATTCCCTCAACCTCGTTACGGTAAGCTACTTACTGAAATGTTAATACCATTTGTGGACGATAAATCTCGTGAGAAAGCCAGTCTTTACAACGCACTGCTCACTTGCTATTCTGTGACTCTAAGGATTCCAAGATCCACGGGCGATCTTTTCTCATTTTTCTATAACTTTTCCGAATACTATACAAATAGCAAGAGCAATGCCACTATCAAAAAAACCCTCGAAGATGAATTCAATGATTATCACTGGAATGGAATCGACAAAACAGGTGGTAACGGTCAAGCTATCACAACTGCCCTGGAGAAGCTGAAGGGCAACAATCACAGCGCCTCCCACCCCTATGACCTCTACAGCCTCCGAGAATGCAAGGAGAAGGAAACCTGTGGCGAATACCTCGATCCCATCAGCCGAAACTTCTACTCCATTTTCGCAATAGGATATGCCGATGGATATCTACGTTACGTAGTGCATCTCGCCCAGGCTTTCAATAAGGAATTGCAAAACTTATTAAATGCATTCAATTCAATTGACTGCAGAGACCATAAGCACAAACAGTGTGAAGCCAAATGCCACTTCAAAAAGAAATGCTGCTGTCCCACCATCGTCCAATGCCATGGCGTGTACCCATTATTCTACAGCCTTGGTTTCACATTCAACCAGTTCGGTACATTGAATGGTCAACCCCAACGCCAACCCCAATACAAACGCACCTGCTCCCAATTCTCCACGCAACTCTCCGCAGTCATCACCGGCGAACCATTCAAACAACTCCTCAAGCAAATCAACCTCTTCCTCCTTTCCATCCGCAAACCCTTCCTCCTGTACCTCCTCACCTTCTGGCTACTCGCCATCACCTACCTAACATACTCACTCACAATACCACTCGACGTGCTACACCTACGTTCACACCTACGCACTGCCGTGCCATCACCTCTTGTGCTACTCACCAACTACACACAACCACATGACATCACATACTTCCAACCGTAATCTACTACTCACTCCACTACTACCATCAATCAACCATAGACAACCTCCTCTCAGTCATCAACAACTTCCTCTACCACATCCACAAACCCTTCCTCCTGGACCTCCTCACCTTCTACCTCCTCTACTCACTACTCTTCCCCCTGGACCTACTCCACATCCTCTCACATTGGCGCCTTGCCTCCACCCATCACCTCCTACCACTGCATCTACTTGCCGACAACATCCCCGCACCTACTACATTGTACTTCCAACCGTAATGTAATACTCACTCTATTCGACATTTCACCTACTCACTCCACTACCCACTATTCCACCTCACCTTCTGGCTCCTCGTCATCACCTACCTAATACACTCACTCACAATACCACTCGACGTTCTACACCTACGGTCACACGTACACACTGCCGTGCTATCACCACTGCATCCACTCACCAACTACACACAACCACATGATATCATATACTTTACACCGTAATCTAATACTCACTCTATTCGACACCTCACCTACTCACTCCACTACTACCATCCATCATATAACTACAATCTCCTCTCAGCCATCAACAAATTCCTCCATTCCATCCGCAAACCCTTCCTCTACTACCTCCTCACCTTCTGGCTCACCGTGCTCACCTACCTCCTCTACACACTACTCGTCCCACTGGACCTCCTCCATATCCGCTCACATTGGAGACGTGCTTTGTCACATCAAATATCGGTGTTGGCGTTATTATCGAAGAAGGCAATGTCACCAACAAAGGTTGGATATTTCACACCATAAGATGTCATCACATATCAATCTAATGTCATCAAATCTCTGTTCGTGTGTATTGGGCAGATTGATGGTTTCACAAAAATTTCATGTTCTACACCCC